ATCATGCATCTCCCTCTGGGAGTCATGCCTGACGCCTGTCAGTGTCTTGCAATGGCTTATGGGACTTGTAGTTGCACCGCAGCTGAAGGGCTGGCGTTTATGTAACACTGCAGTAGAGCATGTCACTGAGCTGACCCCTGCCCAATCAAGAGAGCGTAGGAGTGCTTTCCTACATCATGATATCTGCTCTGATATTCCAGCAGATACTCTGTCAATGAGAGTTTGTCTAATTGTATCAATACTTCCATACATGGCAAACTCATCGGCCCAAGTGGCTCCGTCGGCTAACGAAGGGAAGGGGGGAGAAGTCCGAATTTAAATCTGACCATTTTGGTTGCTGACTTGCAAATTTTGGAGAAATGATGGTGGGACTGTGCTCAACCCTAACCCCATTTTCCATACTCAGTTTGTGGTTCATCAGACCTTGTGGTCATCACAGCCTACTATAATCACCAGTATGTTCGAAGCTCGGTTTGAATATCAGGGGATTATTGCGTCCATAACAGGCACCATCTGCAGAGGAAAGTTATCACCTCCAGGGTTCCTCTGCTGCCCCTCAGGAGCCTCCAGTGGTTTCTGAGAGGCTTCTGGGCTCCCAGGAGACACCACATATAATGGAAGTGTCCCAACCACCAGTTGAGCTGGTCCTGTAACGGTTTGCTGGATGTGATGTGCCTGCGCTTATGCAAAGTTCGGACTTCCTAAAAGTTCTAACCTTGGCCAGGACTGCTCGGGACTCCAAGGGTGCAGTGGGGGCAATCTGGAGAATGGAACCGCATTTTGCAGCCACCGGATGGTTCCAACTTGGAAGTTTAATAATGTGTATACAGTCAGTGCCGGTGCTAGGATTCTTGCCTACACAGGCAATGTGCATTCCCACCCCCCCCGAACCTCCTTCCCCCCCTCCCCGACCCCCTGTAGCGCTGGGCCTGCTTGCGCTATGTTTTTTGTTTTTTTCCACTTACCTTCGGTGCGGGAGAGCAGCGGCGAGTCAGCGCTGGTCC